CCAAGGCCGCCTCCTAACTCCCCTATAACGCACCTCCTTCTGCGGCGCGTTTGTATCACGCACCGTAACCTCCGACTCCTCATCACGACTCGCCTCATATTTCGGCTCCATCTTAGCGTTGCCGCTGCACTCTATCGGTAGAGCAGCGGCGAACATGTTATCGCCCAGGAGGAGCCGAGTGAAACTTATTGAACTCTGGTACAATGACGGCCGTTCATAGGAGGAAACCGACTCCAAAGAGTTAATGGAAGTCCCGGAGTCATCTGCGAGGAGATGCCGGTGGATAGACTCCAATAGAGCATAATCGGAAACTGACATTTTTAATTATTCTCCGGCCAAAAAACTACTACTGTGGTAGGTGTTTGTGAAATACTGCTTTTGGCTATGGTATCAAAAAGGATACATAATGTAGTATTTATAAAGGCATTGTGGGTTGGGAGAGATCGAGGGAGTTTGTTATGTGATTGGGAGCGAGGAAAATTTTATGTTATTTTCTTGACACTTTCCTTGTTTCTAATTAAGAAAGTTCAACATTTCTGTTCACACGTGGTGGAATTGGAGTGTGAATTCTATAATAATGCAAGAGGTAAATACTATATTAGTTATATACTTTATTTTTAAATCATTAACTTACATTAAAAAAGTTATTCATCACGTTAATATTAAAGTGTATGAATTCAAATAGATATAGTATTAATTTAGATGCACCGAAAATGAAAAATGTCATATACACATAAATATAGTAATTTTTTAATAAAATAATTACTATGTTTTTTAATTTAATATATATGTTATTACTTATCAATTCAATCATTAAAATACTATTAATTCTTTAAGTTTATAAAAGTTGAACTGGATTTACGATTTCTATGAACAATGAAGGGAATACTAAATGAAAGGAATACTATTATTGTGAAACTCAGTTCAATTTACAACTTTTATGAACAATGAAGAAATCTTCTATAGCAGTCCAACCAAACCTCATTCCAATATCTGATACTATCAATTCTTTTGTCTGTATAACTAGCTAGCTAGCTAGGCACATGAAAAGGGTCTTCAATTTAATCAATGAAACGCCAAAAATCTTACAGAAATTTGACTTCAATCTGGAGATGTGCCAATGCTGACATAATGTAGGATTTGAGGAAGCTGAAGGTTGTCTTAGCGTCCCACCAAGTTCTACCGGAGCAAGTGGAACGAGAGAGTGCAGAACACCCGTTATTAATGGACCATAACTTGGCTGTGGTTGCACGCGTAGTAGAGCTACTGCAGCAACCTATAAACATGGCAATTATCCTTAATATATCATTAAAACAACAGTATAAATACAAGTTATACTACTTTCGGGGCCAATAGCCAAACTACCCTTTTGACCTCTTTCGTTCATTAGATGGTGGGCAGGATTTCAAAATTTCACGCCAAATGCATCCAAATCCAACCATACCATTCAAATCTAGTTCTCATTGAGAAAAACAAGAAGCCTAGAATGAAAAATGGGTTGTGGTTGACTTTCAGTTGCCTTTTATTACTTGTGAAACTTCAATCCGCTAGGTAGCTAGGTAGTCAAAGCAGGCGAAATTGAACACGGCTAGCTTCAGAAGTTGGATATGTAAACACACTCTCAAGTCTCAACCTACCACATTCCAATCTAAACTTGCATAAAACCACAACTAACAAAGGGCTGCTTGGTTTACTCCATGCATGGTCAATTTGGATCTAACAAGTTGCCAACAAAAATTGTAAAAATTAAATTTAATGCAATG